AACCGACTTTACCACGCGCGCGCACGCGCGCGCCGCGCTCCTCGACTCTCTCGCACCCGCCCCGAGCCACGCCCCTCACGAGATAGGCGGCTGCGACCCTGAGAGTGCGCAGCGGTGCCGCTGGCGTGCTCACCACACCCATCCATCATGCCTGCATCATTCCTGCACGTACTGCCCGGTCTGGTCGGGGCGTGGGGCGAGATCTGGCAGGGCGGCGCGCTCGCTTCGGCGGATGGCTGAGCGGCACAGTTTCTGGCCGCCCGGCCTGCGAGCTGTCGCCGCGAGACGATCGAAGGCGCTCAATTCAAGCGCGCCGCCATGCCAGATCTCGCCCCACGCCCCGACCAGACCGGGCAGTACGTGCAGGAATGATGCAGGCATGATGGATGGGTGTGGTGAGCACGCCAGCGGCACCGCTGCGCACTCTCAGGGTCGCAGCCGCCTATCTCGTGAGGGGCGTGGCTCGGGGCGGGTGCGAGAGAGTCGAGGAGCGCGGCGCGCGCGTGCGCGCGCGTGGTAAAGTCGGTTTATATTTCATCACTGGTATAAAAGAGACCCAAAACGGCACGCGCGCCGCGCGCACGCGCGCTCGCATCACCTCAACACTCACACAGCAAATCAAAGATGCGGGCAGCCGCTCGGGCGAGGGTTTCTTCGATCAAAAGAGGGACGGCAGCGAATCTCCCCACGGCTCATAAAAAAACCGCGAATGGCAGTTAGCGGACGTCGCCGCGGCTCGTCTCTGCCGCGGCGGCTGCTGCGCGCACGTGGTGGCGCCGCTCTCTCGCGAGACGGCTGGCGACGCGGCTCGCGGCCGACGTACGCTGCGCTCGTCCGACCGCCCGCGGCGTGGCGTGCGCGGCGCTGCGCACCGCTCTGCGAGCGCTTCTGCGCTGCTTTGAGTAAAGTCCACTGTATATGAGCTGCTGCCTCGCTGCTGCGAGTTGACATATCCGGTGATGTGCGAGCGTTCCGTTCGTGCGTCGACTGGCTCCCGGTTCGAGTCG